CCATTTTTCTTATCCACTTAAAACAAATGTGTTTGTGATTATACAATGAGAAAACATCTCAGTTATTGTCATAAATTTTAATACATTAATTTTACTATATTCTTTCTTAGTTGTCAAAAAATAAAGATCAGAAAATTTAGCATATATCAAACATATTTCAGAGATATATTAATGGCTTACTTGAACCACTAATTAAGCAGTGATAATATTTAATGATGAAGCATGCTTTTGGAACAATGGTGCATACAAAAGAAGGGAGAAGTAATAAAAATAGAGTCTCAAACAAAGATGATAAATAACAAACTAAATACAATAAACATGCTTAAAAAATGGACCAAGTCATCTAACAAATGGTTTCCATCAGATAGGATAGCAAGCAACACCTTTTGAAGAACATAACCATCAAGAACTGGTGCTACTGTAGTTGATCCTCCACCACTGGGTATTAAAATGAATAAATCTACTCATCAGCAATCTAGTGTTATGTGGTGGCACATCAAATATAATCAATAAACCAAATGTCAAAAAGTGAAGTGGCACATCAAACTGTGTTAATTCCAAACCATACTCATATGAAGGCAATTGCATTCCACATTAATATGGCCACAGAACTAAATTTTTAGTCGAGAACTTCAAAGTCTCTTACCTATCAATAACTAATGATGTAGCACGCCCTGACGCAAAAGATGTGAGAACCTGGTGTTAAGAAATTCTCCTTCATTAACTAGTTCATAGATTCTGTTTTCACACCAATAATAATTTTCATGCTGGAAGTTGGATGCACACAGCAGTGAAGTACATATCACTTACAGCATTCTTGGCCAAAAACAATGCAGGTACTTTGTATTTTTCGAACATAAGTTCAGCTATCCTGATACATTGGCAAAAAATTGAAAATTATGAAATCTAAAAGTTGATGAATCGAACCAAACTTCATCACTAAACATGAAAAAATCTGAGTGTATTTTGCTAAAAGCCAAAAATCAAACGAGCAGGGGGAGAAATCATTGTCGGAATACCTTTCTCTCTGTTCTTGAGTGTTAGAACATGATTCAGCAAGTAGCATTGGCCGCTCTTTAGGATCAACTAATAGGCATTCCCTGAAAACCAGTTAATAGTAACATAAGACATAAAAAGAGATAAATAAACAAATTAATAAAGTTCAAAAGAGAACAATCTTTAACACAAGAATGGAAAAAGAGCATCAAACATACATTGAGATTTGCATAAAAGTATGTCCTAGCATAAGCAGCAGGATATCATTAATCATTCTCAACCACAAGAGTATTTTAGTCTCTTTTTACTCTTTATACAGATATTGATTAATTTTTGGGACCATTGCATTTGAGAAGAGCCATCAGGAGCTTCCTAAGAAGCTTAATAATTGACAGTCATGTATGCTATATCAAGAAAAAGATGATCCTGTTTACTGCCAAAAAAAAGAATACGAAGAAAAGAAAATGATGACGCTACATTTCAGATTATAAACAGATTAGGTAATCAGCAACAACCTCAAAGCATGATCCCATATGTTGTCTACAATGTTCCAGTCAACAACAACTCCATTCTTCAACGGTGACAGCACCTGACAGGCATAACAGAAATAGACAATTAAAACTATTAATTTTAAAATAACTGAAATGATTAATTAAAGAATAACCTAGCAGATATTTCAAAGTTTTACCTCCATATAGTCTCTGCGGTATCCTAAGGACTGAGATCCAACATAAAGTTTGCATTTTCCCTTGGTTTTCTCAGAATCAAGATTTTTGGCATTGTTTTGTAAATCCACAGAAGCTCCGGAGTTCTCCTCGGCATCACCATGTCCATCAATGTCCATTTGATCAATTGCACCAACAACCTAAATAAGTGCATGACACGATAACATCGAGCTTAGAAATAAAAACTGTATGCATGTTCTACAAATTTTCTAGATATTCCTTAAAACAATGTATTATACATGCATCCAACTACATTAGGATCAAGCAGCAATAATTATCACCAAAGAAAATATCAGTGGCCAGTTCATTACGGAGGCAGCTAATAAATAAATAAAAAGTAGATGCTGAACTAATAATAAAAAAAGATATATCCAACAGAATGGAGTTAGAGCTACATTAATGAAAATCCTGAAAACTTTACAAGCTGTAAAACCCCTCACGTTCTCAACTTTATTCAATGCGTGACTTAAAAAGGCTCTCTATGGTACGTAAGACATGAGAGACCTTCAATGGCACCAACAATGTCAAATTGAAATTAATAAAATATGCTTAAAAATTAAAAACGCACAATGTGAGCTAGTTTTATTTTATTTTAGTTGCAAACACCTAAAAAAGATGCACATTATAATATTGCGAGGAAAATAAAAGCATAAGGTTAAGGTAGCGAGTAGATCACAGTCACAATCACACTTACTGAGGGAAAGACGGCCTTGGGAGCATCTTCGCCAGCGTAACCGGCTTTGCATGTGTGCGAGCCCAGGTCAATTACTATTGCTGATACTTCGTCTGTGAAATAGGAAATAACAAATGAAAATGAAACGAAAATCAGAGGATTACCAGAACTTGTTAAGGAAGAAAAAAGAGAGCTCATTGAACACTCACCACCGCCATACATGACTAGGGTTTGGTTGGGTGAGAGAATGTAAGTTCAGTCAGAAAGAGTTTCGATTAGAGTTTTGGGAGTGGAACGAGCAGTAACAACGAGCGTTTAAGGAAGGAATGAAAGAGAAGAAGGGCTTCTGAATTTCGATTGATGGCGCGGGTTTTGAGATTTCTTCAATTCACATCACATTTTGGGTTGGGCCAGCTGGACCTGTGGTAAACATAGCCCATGTCTAACTGTTTGTGTTAGTTTGTTTATTTTTTTCATTAATGTTTGAGAAGTATTTTTTTTTTTTTTTTAAATTAGAAAGTGTTCTTTTGAATACAGATAATCAAAAAACCAAATATGCGCTTACACGGTTTTTCCAAGATTTATTCAATATTTTTTAATTTTATAATATATTTATGGATATAGAAAAATTATTTTAAGAAGCAGCATAAATATCATTAAATACATAAGATGAAAGTGTTAATAAGAAATTTTTTATTATGTAACAATTATAGTATATAAAAAAATTGATTTCTAACATCTTTCATCCATATTTAAGAAAATATTGCTTAAACTTAAATATTCAATATAAAAATTTAATATAAAATTATATTTTAAATAATTAATTATAAAAATGTAACGAAACCGGTAACTGTAAACAAAACTTAACAAAATAAACAACATAATGGCTGTAATAAATATGATGAATTAACTTATATTCGTGCAGGATTTTGGAAAAATTTGAACTTATTTCTAAAGTTAACGAGTAAAGATCTATTTATTTTGAAAAATTAATAATCTAAATCAAAGATATACTTTAAGTTCAATAAAAAATAAATACATCTTTATTTAATCACTTAAAAAAATTATCCTAAAATTGCACGTAGAAACATGGCATCAACATGAAGGGAAATGAACATGCGGATGCCATGTTCTCGTATAATTTTTGTGCATGTACCTATTCATATTTGGGTTAATAATTTCATAGGCGAATGACTTGGAATTTCACATAATCTAATTATTATTTATTTATTTCATGTTATATAAGGAATAATATAGATAAACTTTAAAAGAAGATATAACATTTAAAAAAAAGTTCAATAGTTATTATTTCATCTTTTTTTTCTTTTTTTCCGTTCCCAACTAATGGTCTAAAAATTAAGCAGAAATAATAGTTCAATAGTTTGGTCATAAACAAACAATATATTCAATTCAAACATTATTTAGATGAATTATTATTCAACTACAAATTAACTAGTTAAATTTACTGAACAATAACATAAGGTGGCATTTTACCAAAGTAGTGTATGTTTGTTTTTATCTTTCTCAACTTTATCAGAGTAACTGAATACTTAGGGAACATTTGGTTAAAGAGAAACTTTTATGAATCATAGGGAAATGTGATTAGTAGGAAAATAATTGGGAAGTGAGTTTGATAGAAAAATATAAAAATAATTGTTTGGTTGGGAAAAAATTTATCGGAAAAATTAGATAACTTTTGTAGAGTCTATATTTGACTTTTGGTTAAATATAGATGAAGAAAAATATGCTTTTACCAAAATAACCTTGCTTTTGAACAATCAGGCATCACGTCTATATGTAAAACCAAATAATGTTTCCAACGTCCATATGCACAAAAAACGCCGACTTAAAGTGAGAGTAGGATAGTCTTTCGGTTAGAATGCAGTGTGACCAATTAGGCAGCTTTTCACAAATACCATAGGGTTTCTTTTATCGGCTAAATGGACAGAAAAACATATGCAACTTGGTTATGTAGGAAACTAATTTAGGTAGATAAATGTAAAAAATTCTTCAACCAAATATGGTTAACTTAGATGCCCAGTTCTCATTTTCCTATCCATCTCAATCAAATCATTTAACCAAACGCCCCTTACGGTTTAATATACGGTTTAAGACTTCAGCTAGACACGTGATTTCGCCATCTTCTTCCATGATATTAAAGTAGCTTTCGTCATTTGGCGGATGCTAGATCGCATAAGAAAGTCGATCACAGTATAAGAACAGTGATTCTATATGGTCCGAAAACTTTATCTTGATTGCCCAATGAATTATAAAAGGAAAAAAAAAATTCGGTCTGCTGCATTATCTTGATTGCCTACTTTTTATATTTATTAATTACATGAAAATAAATATAAATATTTTAACAGGATATATAAAAAGTGTATATTCACCTTCAAAATAAAAATCAGACCTGAAGGACGTTTTTTTCCTTTATTGGGAACAGATGCTGAATATGAGCGTTCCACTTTCTGATAAATAAAATAAAATAGAGCGAAACAATTAAAACCCAGTCACCCATTACTACGTCATCCTTGATGCTCCATATATAATTGCGCTTATCTTTTCGAACTTGCTCATGTTTCAGGACACTGCAGCAAATCAGAAAAATGGCTCTGATTCTGAACCGATCTTTTATTTTCCTCTTCCTGGCACTTTTCCTCTCCTTTTCTCTTCTTCTTCTTAATGCTAATGCTACCTCCTCTGAATTCTCCACCTCTGTTCTTAACGTCACAGCCTCACTCCTCCAAGCCCAACAAGTCTTCTTCTTTGAGTACCCCGAACCTTCTTACCACCAACACCAAGAAGAAACCCAAGTCATCTCCACTTTTTCTTTTTCTTCTTCTTCTTCCTTGTCGCTCCAATTACACCCAAGAGATTCTCTGCTCAATGCTCAGCACAAGGACTACCGCAGCATACTCAAATCTCGACTTGACCGTGACTCAGCCCGAGTCAACTGGATCATCAGCAAGCTGCAACTCGGTCTCAGCAGCCATCGCAACAAATCGGAGCACAGACCGGAAGGCCTATCGGCGCCGGTAAAACCGGGCTTGTCGGAAGGAAGCGGCGAGTACTTCACGAGAATCGGAGTGGGACAACCTGCGCAGCAATTCTCCATGGTTCTCGACACAGGAAGCGACTTGAGCTGGCTTCAGTGCAAGCCCTGTTCACCCTGTTACCAACAATCCGACCCGATTTTCGACCCGTCCGCGTCATCCTCGTATTCCCCGATTACCTGCGGAGCGCAACAATGCAACGAACTTGAAATGTCGGGGTGTAGTAACGATCAGTGTGAGTATGAAGTTGAGTATGGCGACGGTTCCTCCACTAACGGTGTTCTCGTGTCTGAAACGGTGTCGTTTGGGAACCGAGTCGTAATGGGTTGCGGCCATGTTAACCAGGGTTTATTCGTTGGCGCCGCCGGGATACTCGGACTTGGTCGTGGGCCCCTTTCGTTCTTGTCTCAGATCAAAGCGTCGTCGTTTTCCTACTGCCTTGTGGCACGTGACTCGAAGAAATCGTCGACCCTTGAGTTCAACTCGCCCCGACCCGGTGGCTCTGTTACAACTCAGTTACTTAAGAACCCTATGCAGGGCAGTTTCTACTACGTGGGACTCGCCGGTGTGAGCGTTGGAGGCCAAAGGGTTCCCGTTCCGCCGTCGACGTTCGCAATTGATCAATCGGGGTTAGGCGGAATCATCGTCGACTCCGGCACTGCCATAACTCGGTTGCAGACTCAGGCGTATAACCTGGTGCGCGACGCGTTCGTGAACCTGACTCGGGATTTGCCACGCGCCAAAGGTTTCTCCGTTTTAGACACTTGCTACGATTTATCGTCCGTGAAGTCGTTTTCGGCGCCGACGGTGTCGTTTCAAATGAGTGATGGGAGATCGTGGGTGTTGCCGGTGACGAACTATCTGATGCCAGTGGACAACCAGGGAACTTTCTGCTTCGCTTTTGCGCCGTCGACGGCGCCGTTATCAATCATAGGGAATGTGCAGCAACAGGCGACACGTGTCACCTTTGATCTTGCAAACTCTATCATCGGTTTCTCACCCGACAAATGCTAGACGTGTATTGACATATTTACCCCTTAATAATATAATCGACAATTTAAGCACGGAATTTATGTCATGAATTCGTACTAGCACCACATTTTACACGTACACACACTTTACGTCACTTTTAATTTCATTAATTAAATATCAAAATTGAAGTAATTTACCTGTAAAATCAAGGACTTAGCATATAGTTAAGTATAGTCTTAATGAAGTATAGATAGCTCCAAGTGTATGAGTTATCAGAAACATATGTGTAGGATTGTTTTATGTCTTGCGAATTCTTTAATTGTTTCATATTCGTGCAAGATATCGATCTGCCACTTCGGTTCTCAAAAAAGACTACAGTTACATAAATGAATTTATTGTTCAATTACAAAAAAAAATTAAAAAAAATGAATATGATTAGAGTGTAATATTAATTTTAGAGCGTTGTAAGTCATTGTTCATTTAGTGTAACAAAAGAGAGAGAAAAGGTTTGCATTTACATTTGACCAAATCTGAATGTTGATACTTTTGTTTAATAATAATCAGATCTTCATACGAGAAGAAAAAAAAACTATTAAGCAAACTTGATTTTTTTCCCCTTATATTGGAAGTTTTAGGAAAGTTTTACTAGACCAACAGGAGAATGAAAATGGTGGAGATTGAAGGACAACCGTGTGACATAACTACAACCCACCAACATATTGTTTGTGCAATTAATCATTTGTGAAGATACAGCTTTGTCCTATTGGTGAAATTAATCACTGTTTATGCATAATAGTTTACCTTTTCTCTAAACAATATTTTTCTAGCTATTCAATAATATAAAAAAAAAACGTGCTACTAGTTTCACGTTTTTTAGTTCAGTACAATTGTAAAAGCTTGCGTCACGGCTACATAACACACAAAGACGACAACGATCTGAGATTATCTCGAATTTAACTGAAGGAGTCAGAATCATGAGAAACAAATCAGCCGTAAGAGCATAATATTTGGTACTAAAGGAAGCGTTTCTTCACCAAATGGTGGCACTAGTTCCTTGATAGCGAGAGTTAAATAAGTGGAAAAGAAAGAGATAATTAAAATTATGTTAACTAATATTAAAAAAGAAAAGAAAAAGAGAAGCGCTTGTTCCGTTTGAAGACAATTTTTTTGACGTTGAGCAACGCAAGCATCCTTCACATGAAAGAATAAAGAAAGGGACCACAAATCTCGAATCAGACTACAAAAGGAAAACGAGCACTGTGACGTCCTACTATCATGATTCACGAGTACTGGTATTGACGAAATGCTTCGAGCAAGTTAACAAAAAATTCCGCAAAAAAGCGGGTGAAACTCCCAAATTCTATTTGTCACTTTCACGCGATATGCTAGTAAATAAGGCCGAATCTTTGAGCTTTACGTGACTCACGGTTTTCCAATCTTAAAAAAAAAAAAAAAAAAAAAAAAAAAAACTTGTTTAAAACGAGTTTGTTTCTAAAGTTTAAATAAGCGATTAATGTTTGGATATGTAGTTTGTCATTTTAAATGACATAAATTATGTCATTTTAAAACAGAAAGACAGAAATAATGAAAATTATAGGAGAAAAAGTCTGTGATTTTTTTTAATTTAAATTTTAAATAAAAAAATACTTTTTTGTGTCTATCTCTCTCTTAAAATGACATAACTTTATATCATTTAAAATGACAAATATTTTTCCCTCAATGTTTACCTAGAAAATAAATTTATCTTCAACAATATTAAAAACATTAATCCTTAAAATAATGATATGTCTATTCTTGAGTTAAAATTACGACACACTATTCAGCAACGTGACATATGTAATTTCAGGCTTTATGCAACGTTAAATCATAGTCACATTAATTGTTCTAAGACGCTATCCTGAACATACCACGTTAGACCACTTAAGTGCTACCTTGACTACCACCTCCTAAAGTGGTATCTCAACTACCATGTTTACTACTTATAAATTTCGAAATTTTTCTTCGTTGTAAAATACTTTCTTACATATTTAACGTACCGAGACTTCGTTCTATATGAGAAAAAACCTTCGTCAACTATCATGTTATGGATTAAAATTTGATAGGAATTATTAAAACCTTTGGTTATTGGCTGTCAATTTTATTAATAATATTTTATATATTTTCATGTGCTATATTTATTTTGTTAAAACCTTAGGTTAGTAGATTTAATTTTTATTAATGCTATTATTTATATTATTAGTGTAGTGTAGTATATTTAATGACATAAAATTTTATTAATTATATTATTAAATTTTGTTGATGATATTATTAGGTTCTTTAAAGGTCCTATATTTATTTTCTAAGAACCTTAGTTGATTTAAATTTTTCTAATGCTATTATTTATATTATTAGTGATGGATTTAAATTTTATTAATGATATAAATAAATTTTTAAAAGGTGCTATATTTATATTATTAAAAATTGAGGTTAGTGGGCCTAAATTTTATTAATACTACATTTTGTATAAATTAGCTCAACTAAAAAATCCTTTGCACTCCATTGTATAAATGCTAATTTTAATTAACATTTTGTTTCAATGATAGAAATCATGAGTATATATTAAATCTAAAAGGTTTAAATATTATTTTAAAAGTAAATAGAAATAGTTTTAAATTAAAATACTTCAAGTTTTACATAAAAATATCCGTTAATATGTCTTGTTAAAAATGTAAATTAATAAAATTTTATAATTATTATTTTTTATTTTAAAATACTTAACTGTGTTAAATTAATAGTCAGTCAAAAAGAATAAAATAAAATGAAATAAAAAATATGTATAAATTGCACTTTAAAACTAGTTAACTTATCCATATTAATCTATATTTCATATTTCAAATTTAGATTTAAAAGTGTTTATGTTTACTTATTATTTTGGATAAGAAAATTTTAGAAAATATATTTTAATATAGGTTTATTCCAATATATATAAATTAAATATTTAAAAATAATTTCAATATTACCATGTTATTAGTTTTATTCTATATTCTTTCTTTCAAACAATGTTATTAAAACCGGCTCGGTCATTGATTCGGTTGAGGTATTTTTTTTTTTTTTGATAACAAAGGTATTAGGTTAGTGGGTCACTGGTTCAACACTAAAGGGTTACTGGTTCAACCACATGACCTGGTAATTATATGCAATTTTATAATTAATATTAAAAAAATTATAAACATACTCAAATATCTATAAAAAAATGATAAAAATTTCAAGTATTTTTATATAAAAAATAATAAATCACATATTATTATCGAACAAAGGATCAAACAAAAATATAATGATCGTGATACGAGGCTTTAGGTTCAGAAATTGACATCTCTAAGTCTCTAACCATAGATCAAATCAAAATTTTCTGCATAATACATAATTGAGATAATATTGTGTTGTAGGTACATAATTTATGTAAGTCAATAAAAAAAATGTTCAAATATGTCCATTATGATTTTTTTTTGAAAAAAAATTGAATTTTTTTTTTGGGACCGGGTCAGGTCATCGATTTTCATGAAAATCGACCGGGTCGGATCGGGTCACGCCAGTTCTGATGCATGGCCGGTCCGTTGCTTTAATCGGACCAGTTATATGACTGGTTTATCGATTCTCGAATGGGTCGATTCAGTTTTAACACTGCTTTCAAAGTTGTTGTGCTGAATAATTATTTTAGATGGGTTAAGTTCATAAAACATACTTTTAAATAAACAAGCAGTGATAATTAATTATAATTTTATTATCTTATATAATATATTTTTTTGTTAAAAATAAATTATCCCTAACATGACAAGACTCTTCCTTATTATTATTAGGGAAAACTTCATTTTCACGATTTTGTGATTTATCATTTAACCTCATGTGGTTTTAAACTTATCAGTTAGATCCACTGTGCTGAAATATTTTGTCATTCAACCTCCTATGGTTTCAAATTTTCACTTAGACCCCTTGTGGTTACAAAAAATTTCACTTAGACACCTTATAATTTAAAAAATAAATATTTAAAATAAATTTTCTCTCATTTTTATTTTATATCATCATATAATGAATGCATTTAATGTTTAAAAAATATTTCAAGTTATTTATTCTGAAATTAATTTATAAATTATCTTAATTTTTTTAAAATATATTTGAAATTAAAAAATATTATTTAAGATAAATTAAATGTATATTATCAAAATAAGATATTTACTTTCTTTAGATAATTTTATAACGATATCAGGTAAAAAAGAAATAAAATAAAGTAATATTTGATTTAAATTTATTTTTTAATAAAAATAAGTGAATTTAAAAAAAGTTATTTTTTAAACCCTAAATGCATTGAGTGAGGATATAAAATTAAAAAAAGAGAACATTTATTTTTTAAAATTTTTATTTTTGTAACCACAAGGGGTTTAGGTGAAAATTTGAAATCATGAGGAATTAAATGATAAATTATTTAAGCACAATGAGTCTAAATGATAAGTTTAAAACCACATGTGGGTCAAATGATAAATCACAAAATCACAATGGATGAAAATAAAGTTTTGCCTCATTATTATTTTAGGAAAAAACTACTCTTATGCTACATGTAATAAATTTCTCTCCTACACACCCTTCGATAACTGTGCCACATTTTCTTTTCTTTTCTTTTTATTATCTCTATAACATGAGATAATTTATCTCCTTTAACATGAAATTAATAAAACACATTATTTTATAGGAAAAATATTTGTCCTTTTAAATGACTGAACTTATGTCATTTTACTCTCACAAAGAGATGAGATCTACACCTTTATATTTTTTTGTCCACTCTCTTTCCTCCTTTATCTATCTTTTTCTCCCACTTAAAATAACACAACTTTACATCCTTTAAAATAATATACACTTTTCTCTTATTTTATTATGTAAAAGTGTACAAACAACAAAGAGACCCAAAGAAGCAGGAAAGGAAACGGGATAGGCAGAGTTGTGAATCAAGTCATTTAATAATTCCTTAATGAAGGTGATCCAAATGAAGGTGATCTTATATGTAACAAAACGTACCTACAATTCCTTAATAATTCCATAACGTCATATCAGAATTCACTGTGCTTGAACTGCTCAAAATTGATCACACAGAAAAGTAGGTATACTTACAAGTACCTGAAGATCCCAACAATCAGGTTCGAATTCATGGTGCTATAACTGCTTTCTGAAAGAATGGATGAATAGTTGCTCAAGCATAGGTCTATGGTATCTACAACAAATCCTTGAAAGGGTTTGGTCCGTTAAGTTAACTTTATCTCCTTGCATCACGATCCTGTATGTTTGTACTTGCCAAAAGTATCTTTGAAGTCAGTAATAACTCAACCCATTTGCTCTATCTTTTTGGCACTATTAACAAATGTTGCACTTTTATCAAATCCCTCCAGCAAAAGAATCCGCACGGCTTCTAATCCATGTTGTAATGTAAAATTCAACTGAAATATATTTGTATTAACATTTAGAAGTTCCATGTGCAGAAGGCCTGTTTGTCAGTTCAAAGTTCAAAAAGAAAAAATAGAAAAGAAACATATACCTCTTCCCTTTCCTGTTTAGTGAACGGGCGAAGAACAAATGCTACAGGATCCATTTTTCCAGGAGGCCGTCCAATGCCTAATCAAAATCAACAATAAAATGACAAATAAATATTACAAATGATTGAAATGTAAATGAATATTTTAATACTAGGAACGTTGTGCACTTACCAATTCTTAAACGGGGAAAACCAACATTCCCTTTGAAGTGATTAATAACACTCTTCATTCTGCCAAATAGCAAGGAAAACAAAAACAGTAATGGTGCATTTCTCTTCCGCTTAGCAGGAAACAAAGTCAATGAATTTAATATCACCCTGTATAAATTATCACAATAAAAATAATGTAGGCTTGTAGCAAGCCTTGACCTTGGAAGGTGGCAACCTTCCCCACAAAACTTTTTATGTACCCCACAAAAAACAAAACACAATAAGAACCATTAGAATTAAAGAACATGAGTTGAGCTGCCTTCCATTAGAATTGAACAAGGCCAATGGATATGATATCACCTGAGTATAAATTATCACAATAAAATTAATGTAGGCATGCCTTGACCTTGGAAGGCTTCCCTACAAAACTTTTTATGTAACCCCCCTCCCCAAAAAATAAAATAAAATAAAATAAATCACAAATTATAATTAAAGAACTTGACTTGAGCTGCCGTCCAAAAAATAAAGAGATGAAGACAATGACATTCCTAAACTTGCATGGCATATGCTGAACCATGTAAAGCAAATTAAAATACAAAGACTAGGTTAATAGAAGAAGCTAGTGTCAAGGGTCCCTGCACAAATCAATGTTTTGAATGATGAGGCAAGGAAACTGATTTATCCCTACCACATGTATATTTTCAGCAGAGAAAGGAAGGTGTTTACTTTTTTCCTATAGTTATTCTTGTTCTCTGAATCCTTGCTTTGCATATTTGTTTTAGTTTTGTACAACACAGTCACTCAAACACCCTTTGCCCTAAGAAAATTTAGTCACATCAGATGAAAATAGTTCCTATTCAAGATAGGGCATGTAAGCCTAGCATGCCACAACCATCAAAATCTTTTGCTTTGATCCACTAGAAAGCATAGAAAATGATTGTTTATCAAAGTATTCTTTAAGTTTAGCAATAGACATTTTCCTAACCCAAATTGTGGGTTTGTGTTATGATCCAATTGCAAGGTATGGACTTGGAGTCCCACATCTGAAACATAAGGTTCCGGTGCACAGTTAATAAAGACTTTGAGCTCTCCTACCTTATAAGCTAGCTTTTGGGGTGAGGCTCTCCCAAGGTTTGTATCAATTCGTATCAGAGCTTTCACCATGTCTCCTAGTTGCAATCGAGCGGCGTGACTGGTTACGTTGGCATTGCAATGTTCGCCTGGGGGCTAGTAAAAAACTAACGCTAGGCCATGTAGGCATCGGGGCTACGGAACGTGGTGAGATGTTACGATCTAGTTACAAGGCATGAGACTTGGAGTCCCATATCGGAAACAAAAAATCCTGGTGTGGAGTTTATATAGACTTTGAGCGCTCCTACCTTAAAAGTTAGCTTTTGGGGTGGGGCTCTTCCAAGATTCATATCAATTTGACTGAAGGAAGGAAGACAAATATGGCATTTCTATTTTCAGAAATACGAAGAAACTAGGCCTTGATATTCAAAACAACAATGGATATGTTAATTTATAAAAATAAGCTGTCAAACCAGACCTACACAATGCTGTAATATAGCAAAAAGAGAGTGCAAGCAAAGAAGATTATAATTACCCATTGTGACCTCCATGTCCACCCTTTGGTAGCAGCCGCAATTTAGCAAAAGGCAGATCCAAGTCATCAAAGATCTGTAGAATACAATTAATAATTGAACACTCAAGCAGATTATCCTTTTGCTTTTCTTTCGTCACTTGCAAATAAAAAGAACAAATTAATCATAGCATAGATGTTATACCACAAGTACTTGCTTCAATGGAATCTTGTAATATGAAACTATGGCCCCAACCTTCAAAATAGATTTGAACACCAGCCAATCAGCATCAAAATAAAAGTATTTATCACAATAAATTCCTAGGAAGCACAGATACAACATGGACATGGATATGATATGACACAAACATGGACATAGGAATAATGCAAATTTTAGAAATTATAGGAAAGCAACATGGCTATAGTACAACATATAAAACAGAGAATAAAATTAACATAAAAACACAAATCTTAAATCAAAAGAGAGAATTGACGTTTTCAAAATTAGCATGAGTCATTGTAGACATAATAAAATGCTATTATTTATCTAATTATTGTGGTATTCTCATTTGTCTTGGTATAAAAGTTCAAAAAATAAAAGTAAACAAATTATAAAACGAAGCTAGGAGGGTCCAAAGTGTCTGACAAGGGTACGGCTATTATATTGAAGTGTCTGGCTACCAATGGTAAATTCACTGACTATTGATAACTGCAAAGAAAAAATGCTTCATCAAGGCAACTCTAAGGGGTGTCACGTGTGGACTGGGAAACTTAGTTGGACAGTCCTTCACATCATAGAAATTACAAAAATATGGGGTGTCTATGCAAATCTCTAACCTAACTGTTTAAATAAAATAAAATCATATGGATTCCTGTGATTATATTTTTTTCAGTATGGTTTTCTAGTCCAAATGTACCTTAATATGACCACAACTAATTTTGCTTGGTTCAAAGAATTGTAATGTGGTTGATTCAAACAATTCATCATTCTATAAGTCTAGGAAATTTGAGACACATTGAATCAAGTCATATAGGAAAATGTTTTTTTTCAACGATGCTATAAGCATTGCTGTCCCACCCTATCATATTACATCTGAAGATTATCCAAATAGAAGACTTACAGATTCACCACTTAAATTCATAAAAGTCTGTGGTTTTGCAAGTAGAACTGGTACATCACCTATAAAACCTGCAATAGAAAAACAGCTGCCACAAATGGGTACATACAAATACTTAAAATTTTTATACAACATTCTGAAATCTGAATTAATATTATATGGAATCAATGGTTGTCTGCAATTTTTATGAAAGCAGTAATATGTATAATGCAATGATTTGAATATAGATGGATTCAGGTTTGGCATGAAACTTATTTCTGACTTTACTTGAGAAAAATAAGATCATAATGATTTTTCTCATTTTTTCCTAGAGGGATATAACACCGAGAAATTAAAGTAGGATCAGAAAGTAAAATTATCTTTTGAATAAAGACATTTTCAACTGAGCCCAAATCGATAAAACTTCCTATCATGGTAGCTATGTGGCATCCCTCAAACTTTCATTAGGCAATAAGACAATGTAATTTATTAGACAAAAAAAGGCCTAAAACACTGCCAAGAAGTTGTAACTTAGCAAGATAAACTCAATCCTCAAAATTTACCAATAACCTACATTTTTTATGCTGACTGCTATGCCTCTATGAAAACCAAAGTAATTAAAGAGGAAAAATAAGAGTTTTTTTTAACCTTTCCCAAATAGGGCTTTGAAGGAAACGCTGCTCATAGATATCCCTTCGGCTTCAGCTATAGTATCAACCATCTCAAAGCCCACCTGAAATAAAGCTCCAAAATGAGGTCAGATAACCTACCATGCATCTATGTAGCACACACACTGCTATTAAATTTAATCAACTAGAGTCTCGACCAAAGCAAAATTTATCAACTGACTTGACTCTTTCTATCTGTTTGAATTTTCAATACTGGTTCAAACTATAATACATTAATATGTAACTCAAGTACTTCATACTCTTTAATAGGGTACTAAATATATGTTTTTTTAACTGAGGAAATTGCTTCAAATTATAATGTGAGTGTAAGAGGTGAACCTATATAAGTTAGAATAATATTTGTTTCCCCCTCTATTTTCAGCAACGGCAAATACAAAACATTGGGTTTAAAGCAGGAAGAGCAATCAGAACACTGCCAAATTAATATGAAGGTCAATGGCCATGTGGGCATGAATATTTCATTGTTATGCTAGTGATCCAATTCCTACAAAAAGATAACCATCTATTTTATTTTTTATCTTTTTAGGGTTCAAAATTTTATGAAAAGTGAATATATATAATAATAATCAACAAAACATGGAGAATGAAGAAATAGGAGCGTACTGACATTGTGGCGGGTGGAAGAGAACTTCTTGCCCGGATTGCCGAGGCCAACAATTAACCAAGGTTCCTTCTTCTGCTTTGGCTTCGTTGACTCTGTGGCGGGTGATGCACCAGTGACGGTGGTTACGGAAGCTGAACAATTTTTAATGGACAAGAGAGACATAATGCAAGACGAAGAAGACACGGAGATTAGGGGATTTGACAAGCACCGCCTGGAGAACGTTATTGATGACATGGAAGAAGCACAAAAGTTCATCTTTCGCTTCAGATTTTGGGGGATGACATACAAGCATAAACCCTACAAGAAGAAAAAAAAGAAGATTCGAGGAAGGTAGGAGGAGGAATCATTTTGGATCTGAAATATTACAAAAAATAAAAAGTTCGCCGTTGCCGGGGATCGAACCGGGTCACCCGCGTGACAGGCGGGAATACTTACCACTATACTACAACGACAAGTTGGTGTGTCATATATTTATCTATTATACTACTCAAACTCTCAAACAAAATTTGATAATATTGAATAATATTTATTGTTACTTTCTTTATTTTTCTCTTCTTAAAGAAATAGTTACGATACTTAATTAAGATGAATTTTTTCATAGTTGTGGGCAAAAATTGTGTTCGTTCTCGCGTTGTATATTATGAAAATAACTTAATTATATGATTATCGTCTCATGGAACCACAAACAATTCAACAGTATATTTCTCCTAAATTAATGACATAAACACCCCCCCCCCCCCCCCACAAACCCCAATTCTTGATACCTAGGTAGCACCGATACGACACGCGACACGTGACACGATACGACACTCCGACACGTCAATCCTAAAAAATTATGAATTTCGACACGTTGGGACACGTTTTAATATTAAATAGTATTTTTAATTTATATAGAGTATATTTCATTTAATATTTAATAATTTAACAAAAAAATAAAACTAAATTAATAATATCCATCAACACGTTATAAAGATGGAAGCTTTAATAAAAAAATAAGAACTAGGATGAGAGAGATATAATATCAGATAGAGAGATCAAATCATATTAGAGAGAGATAAAGCGTGATAGGAATTGACAACAATTATGCTGAGATGATCTCTTATCTACTTAAGGGGGAAAAAGACAAAAAGACAAAATTGATATGATCAGGTGGAAGCTTTATTAATATATTTTAACTTTTAAAAAAAAAATTTAAAAAAAAATTTAAAAAAAAATTTAAAAAAAATTACGAAAATGCCATTTGACCGTGTCGGACACGGTCAAATTCGCGGGTCGGAATGGTCAACGTGTCGGAAAAAGTCAACCGCGTGTTTGACACCGTGTCGGAGCGTGTCGCCGTGTCGGAGCGTGTCGGACCCGACTCTTCCGATTTTTACAAGTGTCCGTGCTTCCTTGCTTGATACTATGGTAATAACAATGGTTGTTGTTATAACCAAGTAATGGCTGTCCCGTAACTTTTTACAGTAGAAGGTAAAAATAAAATTTTAAAATTATAAGTATTATTAAGATTAATAAGAGATACTAACTATTATAAATATTTTTGAGGGAGAGACTAATTATTAATATTAATAGTTTATTATTATTAAAAAAATTATTTTTTATATAAAATTAAAAAATTAAAATTTAGAGAGCAGTGGCAGTCCATACTACCCCCTCTCTAGGTCTACTCTTGTCTATAGCAGTGTTTAAAAACCCGGTCCGGTCATCGACCCGATCAAGGTCAGGGGTGATGGGGTCACGGGTTCAACCGGTGGGTCACGGGGTCACTACGCTGACCCGGTTTTATATATTAAAAAAATATAAATATATATATCCTATATGAAAATATTAAAAAATAAACCACCAATCATCAAAGATTCAAAATATAATTAACATAATTCACCGATTACAACCACAAGTTAATGGGATCACTACGCTGATCTGGTTTTGCCTCTTTTGAGAAGGTCTCTAACAAAGAAAAATTTAAAGAAAGTAAGAATGAGTTTTTGTTTTTCATCGACGACCATAAAGATTTCATTTGAATGGATAAAATTTTACCTTTTCTAAAAGATTTATGGCAGCGAGGTGAAGATTGAAGAAGTCTATGTCGCTGGGACTGGGAGAGAATAAAACGATAAGATTTAGGTTTGCAAGGATTTTTATTTTATTTTTTTAATAAAACGATGTCGTTTCATGGATTTTTTTTTTTAAAAAAAAGAAAATATGCAATGACCCCCTTCGACCCGTCTGATCCGGGAGTCACTGAAATCCGGCTGAGTTTTGGGGGTCAGAGGGGTCGATGTGCATATAGGGTCCAACTTGTGACCCCAATCCTCAGAGGGGAGGGGTCAGGGTTGACTCGAGTCAACCCGGGAGGTGGGGTGAGGTTTTAAAACACTGGTCTATAGTACCTCCAAACTCCAATGCCCAATATTTACTTAATACATGCATGTCTCACTTTGCATATACTTATTTTTATCCCATCCTCGAAGAATATTTTCCAAAAATCCTCCCTCAGTAATCTCTTCCTTTTCTCTCTTCTTAACCTCCCCAATTCTGTTATTACCTTTATCCAAATACTTCAATTAAACCATCATCATCTATAATGCAAATCAAAGTCATACTCTATCATGAAACCTTTTTTTATATTACAAAGGAAATTATTTTTTATCCACGGATGAATTGTCAAATATTTATTACTTCTTGACTATATTTTATAATTTTTTGAACATTTATGACAAAAACTCCACTCTTATTTGTCCCATTGCCACTCCCCTTATCAAATTTAATATAACTATTATATGCCATTCGAATCTAGTTACGGTTCTCTTGACTTCAGACAATCTGGCAAATCTTCAACTAGTGCTATGGTTTTGCTTAATATTCTACTGATTTGTAACAAAAAGGTGCAGCAGACCGTACTGCACACACAGTATGGAAAATTGCTAAATAGCAATTAGCAAATACTAGCTAAGATAGTATTAAAAAAAAAAAAAATTCACCGATACTTCTGTGATTTGCTTCAGAATTACTTATGTTTCTGTGATTTTTTTCTATCACATATGTACCTGTGATTTGTAAAAGGGTATGTTTTTTATCACATATTCTCCTGTGGTTTTTTATTTTTTACAAAGCACAGGAGCATATGTGATAAAAAAAAAATCACGGAGACATAAGTAATTCTGAAGTAAACCAGAAAGGCATTGATGAACTTTTTCCTAAAAAAAAATAGAGACAGGTGAAGACCAGGATATGCAACCCAATGGTATAAAAGAATGCAAAAGTTCGGGCATACCTGCAAGAGCATTCTTTATCAAACAACTATGCACGTAATGTTTTAGGGTTTTATAATTCTCATTTAACATGAGAATTCAAATTTTTCTACATACCCTTCGATTTCCGTGCTGACATGGGTCCTACATATAATTTTTTCTAACACCTGGACCTCACATGTTTTTTATGTCTACAACATGATAATTGAATTCTCATTTAACATGAGAAAATCAATCCCTAATGTTTTATCCACGTAAACAATAAAGAAAGAAAGAACGACACAATGTATTCCAGACATAATCGAAGAGAGACAATTAAAAGTTGAAACAATATCCGGAGGAAGTATCTACGGTAATAGAAAATATCACACAATAAAGGACATATTTACACCACAGGTGAGATTTCCCTTGAAAACCTATATATGATTACAAAATTACCATTTGGAAGGATGCGTCATGTATCAATCAAAGTATTACATGACTAAGTTTATTTACATCGCATAAACAAAAAGGTAGGGCTTCAAAAAAAAATATTCTATTTATCTTACCTTTTTCTTATTATATCTTTTACATCAAAATTCAAATGATTCTTTCGGTATGCATTTCTCAAAAATGCAACTTTCTCTGTTAGTATTGCTTTTTTAGGAATATTAATAGCCTTGTTTTTGTATAAGTCTGTTTATTCGACTTTACAAAATTTGACTTATTGAATTTTTTGAAAAAAAACCTTCCTACAAAAATTGTCTAAGATAAAATCAAATATTTAATATATGATTGCTCAAGAACTTAAAGAATTTTCTGCCTCAATTAATTACAATACCAAACAGATTAGGAGATCATTTAAACAGGAAAAAACAGAAACTTTGGTGCGTATCTGAAATAAGGCAGATGCATACTTGTTTCTGTATATATGAGAATATATAGAAGATTAAACCCGAAACAAAGCAAACTGCAAATATTCAACCCATTTTTTTTTGTTTTAGGGAAAAGAAGAGAATGTTTGATCAGTGAGAGAGTAATACTAATATATATGGGTAAAATTGAAAACCATGTCATTAATTTAGAAATAAAAATATTAAATTAATAGTTGGATTAAGATTCCTCACAGGGTCTGCCTCTGTCTATGATTTCAGCACTCCAACCAAAGGTGACACGTGGACAGTAAATGGTGAAACAGCCTTCATAATAAAAAATGGGGAATTTTTTTTGTAAAATGAAGTAAAGTCTTAGTAAATTTTTTGAAGTAAAAGTAATTTAAAAGAAGGGTTTGCAGTAAGTTTAATATGACGTCGTTTCGAGACGAAAATCATGGTATTTTTGTAATTTTAATTTATTTCAGGGTTATTATAGTCTTTAAAATTATAATTTTTTAATTTTTCAATCCCAAAATAATTTCATTTTGCGAGTAAATACATATAACTTATATGCATTAACTGCAGAAATATTCTTTCTGTTTAAAAAAAAATGGAAGTTTCAGCAAAAAGAAAATCTCTACAATTAATTCTGATCTATGCATTTTTTAAAAGGTGTTTGTGTGTCATTATGAAATGCAAAATGATAAATGGAACAATTAAGGAACTCGTAATTAATTTGTATATCATGATATCATGGTGAGTTGATGAAAGAGCTTACAAATTCCGGGTTCTTTACAGCAATCACATAAACCCGTTGTCCAAGTTCCGGGTGGTGGAAGGTCCAGGGTTCATAGTAATGGTGATTGTGCATTAATTAGCGTCCCTGTTATAAATAAGTTTTTGGGGGCTGATCAAATGGAAATTAACAAATACACGGTATTGCTATTAATTATTATTGCCATATATAGCAAGCCTTTCAAAAAGAAAAGTAGAAGCTCCTAATTTGTGCTATTAATTAGGAGCGGCTATTCCCACGCGCGGTGGAGTCCCCATTGACTTTTTTTGTCTACTTATTTGTGCTATTAATTTTCAAATAAATTGGAATAGCGTCGTTTATTATAACCATCATCATTATTATTTAACTTGCAAGTTGCAATAGCTACAAAGTACAACTGAAATATTGTTGAATTTAAATTGTATTATAATTGTTTATGCGGATTCTCAGTAGCATACTTTTTTTTTTATTTACGCAACAATTAATCGATTACCCAATTTAATTTAATTTGAGTAAGGTCGGACT